TGTACATCTCACCCAGGGTATTACCATTTCTGCTTTATTTCCGTTTTCAGAAATGTCCAGAAAAATAAATGGAGGGGAAAATAAAAGACAAGGGACATAATGTAAAAGAAGATGATGAAGAAGAATATGAAAATGGCCATTTTTGTCCCTTATGATTATTACTACCAGGAATTTATGTTGAACAGGCAGGACAATTATCAGATTGCAGTGGTGTTTCCTGTATGTTTTCTACTGAGTTATACATTGAATTCTGTTTTACCTACAGCTGAATGTGGAGCTTCTGCCACCACTAATGAAGGAATATTGCTGTCCCCCAATTATCCCCTCAACTATGAAAACAATCACGAATGTATTTACAGCATTCAGGTGCAAGCAGGGAAGGGGATTAATATTTCTGCCAGAACATTCCATTTAGCACAAGCAGATGTTCTTAAGGTATGTTGCAATTTGGAAGGGATGCATTTCTGAAAAGATGTGCCATTAACCAGGTTATCACATTGTAAACAAAGTCAAGTTAACCATCAGGGAAAAGTAGATTTTGCTTTGTCTTTATTTTAAATAGCTAAAACATTAAATAATAAAGAGGATCTTTAATTACTTTATCATCATCCTGGCTGTAAAAGTGTGCATCTCTGTGTGTGTCCACCTGTGTAAGATATTAATAGCAATCTATATTGAATTTGTTTGCCTAATGGGAGCCTATACAATTTCTTCTCAAATTGCTCAGGAGGATTTATGCTGCCTTACACCTTGGGGACCCAAATATTGGATTGCCTTTTTGGTTATACACTTGTCTAACAATTAAGATTAAGGACGTAATCCTTTTACCTAGAGATTACTTTACCTAGGGAGGTTTGGGGTGTATTGAGGACCATATGTGTGACAGTTTTAAATAACAGAAGAAGTATCTCCCTTCAGAAATACACGTTGAAGATTTTAGTAGAACTTTTAAGAGGATTCTCAGTTATATTTTATGAAAGTCTTTATTAGCAAATGAGTCTTGTTTATATTTAAGGCACAAATGGTCTAAGTATCTAGGGAGATGCAGAGCATTATGCAGGAATAAAGCATGTCAAATTAAGTATCAAAGTATCACCCTTCACAGAATTACTCCATCATTTCCAATCTGTGGAAAAGAAACTTATTCTGATTGATTCTAACCAGTCTCATGAGCTGAACTTTGCATTTAATGTGCATTCTTTGTAACTAGATATAATTATATGTCCTTCTTTCATTCTTCCGGAATGCTACTATCAATATCTCTTATCATAAAAATAAATAATCAATCAATCTGGGGCAGACCATTTTTGGTCTGTGTTTAAAATACAGTGGATAATGTTGGTAAAGGATATCCTTGAAATATTGAAAAATTGAAAAATAATGCAGAAAAATAATTCTGCATTATCATGTTTGTTTTTGTTTATTTGCTTTCTTTGTTTGATATCTGAATCCTTAATGGAATTAAAACTTGCTTTGAGTTTTGAGATCAAAACAGAGGTGGGATATTAAAATGAATGTGTTAATTGGATGAGGACTGCATCCTTTTTTTAAAAAAAATAATTGCATTATTGTATGGCACCCTGACTCTTAGATTTACAGCAGAGGTGTTATATTGTTGTTCAGCTCATGCAAACTAGTTATTTAAAAAGTCAGTTTGATAAAATTTAGCAGCCAAGGCAGGGGATTAGATTTGGAAAAGACAGACCTGAGTGTATATTGATTCCAGGAAGTGACAGCAACGTTTCTGGTGCTCAACATTAGCACCTTAGTAAGTGCTAGAAGTTGAGGTACTTTAGATACACAACAAATGTCTGGCTTCCCTTCCTAATTGAAATGGGGTTCTGAAAGGGAACTACTGTTCCCTTATCCTGTTTCCAAGGAGTAGATAAACATCAGAGATGATCTTTTGCTGAGCATCTTGATCAGGGAAGCAACCAGAATTGCTGGTACACTGGTGGAGATGGATAAAGGACAGCTTAGGCCTGCAGAAGTCATGCAGGAGAGGGGGGAAAAATGGAGGGTGAAGGTCTGGGTGCCGTGATATCCAACTAGGGAAGAACTGGGCACCCTCCACTCAGGAGTATAGAGGAAGTATTGCTTTAACCCTGAGATTCTACCTTTGCTTTCTTGGGAATATGTCCATGGAATCTCATGGGTCCCTTCCCCTGAAAAGTCTCATGCATGTTGAAATTATGTTGAGAAACAGTTGTTGCCTAATTTACTGTGTTTCATCAATGATTAGTATGCCTGTATGCCTTCATCATAAATATGTGGAACCACATCATGGGTAGACCTGTGATTGCTGTCAGCCCTTCAAGTCTGAACAGTTCAATAAACAGGCATGGCAGAGATTCTAGGAGGGCTTTTTATTGTAAAGCTAGTATAATAGAATCTTGAAAGCCTCTTTAAGTTTCTCTCTGTCCCATCTTGTACTAAACAAAATGAAGGCAGAATGATTTTGAGTTTTTTTTCTCATACTTTCCTTTCTCAAGACTGCATCATCTTTTCTGCAAGTCCTCCCTTAATGGCTCATGCATTCCTTTCTTCTTTCTGAGATCAGCTCTACTTACTTTACAGACATAGGCAAATGTAAATAGAACTATTTCTTAAAATTTGAAAGAGTTAATATGGCATTTGCAAAATTAATGCAATACATGCAATGATTAAAAAAGAAAAAAAGACCCTCAGCATCTATTGGCTACATTTCCGTAACATAAGTTTTAATCAAATTAAAGTTTGTTTGTTTGTTTATTTGGTGACTTTGCAGGCATCCAGCATATCTGGCAGTTTATGATTCAGTGTATTAGGTGAACCCAGAAAATGGGTTAATTTAGTAACCAAGTTAAGTGTATGAAGTGAACAAAATCCTCAACTTTTAATAATGTCTGATGTTCCTGCATTTTTCCAAGGATATCTGCAGGGGAGTGGAAATTGTTTAAGATAATAAATAAATTGGTACTTTAAAAGCCAACCAGGCTGCCTAGATGTCTAATTTGCATATAGATTACAATGTCCTTTAGACTTATAGCTAGTTTGCCTGCTAGTTTCACTGCAATCATTTGCTTTGTTTTGTTTTGATATCAGTATATGAATTAGTAAACTGCTTTCATAGAAATAAACTTCAGAGACTCTTTTAATATGACTTGAAAAGAGAAAATGGGTGTCACCTTTAAAACGTTTGCACTGGCAGAGTAAACAGCTGTCCTTTTTTACAAATCCGATGCTGAAGTGGAAGTCCTGCCTTTGTCATGCAGTTAAGAAAAGTAATTTGGCTTATTTTAAAAGTAATAATCATCAGGGTTCTTAAGACAATACTTTGTGTTATTATATCATAAGTAAATTCAGCAGTCCTGATCTAGCTCAGTGGAAGTTTTGAGTTTACTCTGTTTTCTGCTTATGGAAATTATCTAAAGTCAATTTGCTTTTCAGATATATGATGGGAAAGATAATACAGCACACTTGCTGGGTGCATTTACTGGAGCTTCTCTAAGAGGACTGACGCTGAGTAGTACTTCAAATCATCTTTGGCTTGAGTTTAATTCAGATTCTGAGGGAACAGATGAAGGGTTCCAGCTCGTATATACCAGTAAGTATTTCAGAAAGTAAAATAAAGGATTGGATAAGAAATGATCCTGACCTTTATTTTACTTGATGAAAACAGTGCACTACAAGTAAATCAGAAATAATGCTGAATGGATAATGTTAGAGATAGTTGCATAATATGTCATTCAAATGTATGCCCAACCCAATATATATTGACTGCTAATAGTAAATATGTAGTACCTTGCTGCTAATGAAGGTAAGCCATATGGAATTGGATGGTTAAAATGTCTGGCTTGGGATAAAGGAGCCTCTTTAGAGTTTATCAACAGCAGCTCATCCTTTGCTCATCAACCCAAAAGATTATGGTACTTACGTAGTCACAAGAAGCAAACATTTGCATTAAACAGCTTACTTTTAAACCACAATCTATGCTTTGGAGGAAAAAAAAAAAATCCTGTCTTGGAAACATTGTTGATTGTGCTCTTCCCACAGGTTTTGAACTTTCTCACTGTGAGGATCCAGGTGTGCCACAATTTGGATACAAAATCAGTGATCAAGGCCATTTTGCTGGCAGCACTATCATTTATGGATGCAACCCTGGTTATACTCTCCATGGGAGTAGTCTTTTGAAATGCATGACAGGAGAAAGGAGAGCGTGGGATTATCCCCTGCCATCTTGTATTGGTAATCAATTTCTTGTTACCAGAAATGTATATCTGTCACTTTGCAAAGGAGAGAGAAAATAGTACTTTTATTTTTATTCTTTCTCATACAGAGAGACCCATATTGTGTCACAGTTTTTCTTTTCTTACAACAATCTTATGATACAGATTATGCTGAAGGATGATAATGAATTGAGTTCCAACTGACCTTTATGACTAAGAAGACATTTAAATCAGGGTCTTTCCTGGGACTTTTACTGACAAACTATCATAACTATACAGTAAAAACACATTACATAAGTATACACACACACACACATTTAAAAGTATGGAGGAGATTCTGAAAATAGTTGTGCTAGAACATTCACTCATCTCTTCTCTTTTTCATTCCTTTTTAAACAATTGAAGGTGTTGGATGATTATATAAACAGTTAGAGGGGTTGGATTATATTTTCTTTTCACCTATTGGTCCTAATCCATACTGGAAATGGAGCAGGACGACATATAGTTTGCATACTACAGGTAGTCCCCACTTACCGACCGCAATTGGGACTGGCAACTCTGTCGCTAAGCATAGTGGTTGATGTGAAAAATCATGTGACTGCACCAAACATAGGTTAGTTCAGGCTGTGGTCATTAAGCGAATCTCCACAGGTTAAGCATGACATCACAAGTCCTTGACTTGTGACTTCCTGCTGGCTTCCCCATTGACTTTGCTTGTTGGAAGCCAGCTGTGAAAGTTGCAAATGGCAAACATGTGACCATGGGACAGTACAACCATCATAAATATGTACTGGTTGTGAAGCACCCAAATCACAATCACATGACCGCAGGGATGTTGCAATAACTACAAGTTCAAAGACCAGTCATAAACCTACTTTTTCAGTGCCATTGTAACTTTGAACAGTTGCTGAACAAGGCAGTTGGTAAGTGAGGACTACCTGTATTTAGTTTAAACGTAAGATGGTGTTATAATAGGGTTGGGATAAAACTCTTCTTATTCTACATGCTTTAGCTGCTGCAGCAACCTGTGTAACCAGGCATCAATGACATCGACTTGGTGGGTTTCAGCAAACTTTCTTAATATCTTATTTATCTACCTAAATATCTATTTGATGTATGGTATGACAGAGATATCAAGTGCCACACATGGATCTTATTTATTTAAGCCTTCACTTACTATCTGAAAATATAGACAACCAAATTGAAGTTTTCCCATTTTTTCTCCCTGCCCTTGTATTATGCCAGTATCTTAAAAGTATAAAATTTAAACCTTAGCAAAACTTCAATTTGACTGATTCTGGGGTTTGTTTCTAACAAGTTTAGTTAGCTAGCTGTTCCACCAAAGCCTTGGGTGCTGGGGTGAGAGATCTAGAGGAGAGGATTATCAGCATTTCAACACTTTTCCTAGTTCTAGGCTTCATCAGATAAAAATTCTAGAGGTAAATTTCAAGGGAGAATTGATTTTATCTCACTTTTGAATGATAAATGCTCCACAGTGGATTATGAGTTTTCAGCGTTCAGAAAGGAAATGCAGAGGCACATTCTGCCTTCCATAGGATTCAAAATATTTTGCCATCTGCTTTGGCCACTGAGCTTTTCTTAGCTCAAAAGCCTTGACCTTTTCCTGTCTTCTCTTTTAATGATGCTGTACTCACACAAAACATTCAAACAATTAGGAATTCAAACTCTTGTTCTGAATACTCTATCAACAATAGTATTATTTGAGACTGCCTGTATCAGAAATTGGACTCTACTGTTTGTTTGTTTGGTTATTTATACAATAGAGTCACCCATCTGACCAGCAGCAACTCTGGGTGGCATTAAAAATTGAGTTGATAAATTATGAATTGAATTCCCAGTTTCTTACTTTAGTTACTTTATTACTTTAGTTAAGAAAATATTTGCTATATACATAGATAAGAAATGATATTCCACATACATAGACAGAAGACAACTGTCAGTAGATGTTTTATCAGAAATAATGACCAGTTTCTACTTTGTTTTCACCAGCTGAATGTGGAGGTCGTTTTAAAGGAGAATCTTCAGGAAGAATCTTGTCCCCAGGCTATCCTTTTCCTTATGATAATAATCTGCGTTGCATGTGGATGATTGAAGTAGATCCAGGAAACATTGTCAGGTACTCCAGTATGATCTTAGTTTGTAGCAAAGATTTATTTATTTTTTATTTATTTGTAATTAGACATGAATCATGGGTATTTTTTACAGCCTCCAGTTTCTTGCATTTGATACTGAAGCCTCACATGATATTCTCCGTGTTTGGGATGGTCCACCTGAAAATGACATGCTGCTGAAAGAAATTAGTGGCTCTCTTATTCCAGAAGGCATTCACAGCACTCTCAACATAGTGACAATACAATTTGACACAGACTTCTATATCAGCAAATCTGGGTTTGCCATTCAATTTTCAAGTAAGTTGATATACATATATATATATGGCTCAAAATAGTTCTTAATTGACTAGATTTTGAAACTGTTGTAAAAAGTCCTGCTAGGTTATAAATTAATTAGTCTATGGCTTCCTTCCTTCCTTCCTTCCTTCCTTCCTTCCTTCCTTCCTTCCTTCCTTCCTTCCTTCCTTCCT